TGATTTCAGAGTATTTACATGAGTGGTACCACGTGCTCAGAAAATATGTGAAACATTTTTAGGGTGGAACTTCCTCATGTCTCTTTTATTTCTTTTTAAACAGCATAGCTTTTCCTTCACCTTTAAGAGTTTTTAATCATAGAATCATGAAATTGTTTGTGTTGGAAGGAACATAAAAATAATCCAGTTCCACCTCCCACTGTCCCAGGCTGCTCCAAGCCTCCTCCAGCCTGGCCTTGGGCACTGCCAGGGATCCAGGGGCAGCCACAGCTGCTCTGGGCACCTGTGCCAGGGCCTCCCACCCTCACAGAGAACCATTTCTTCCTAATCTCCAACTAAATTTACCTTTTTCCAGCTTAAAGCCATTCCCCTTGTCCTTCCCTCCATCCCTTGTCCAAAGTCCTTTTCCAGCTCCTTTGGAGCCCCTTTAGGCCAAATGCTGTCTGACATCTGTATTTCTATTTCTATATTTCTGTTCAAGAAATTGAATTAGAAACCAAAGGGTAATAAAAAGTCATTTTGTGCAAAAAAATGCTGCAGGAACAGGGAGTCTTCTCCAAAAAAAGGTTTGAGTCAGCATCAAGAAATGAGATTTTCTAATGGGTGCAGCTCTGCAGAACAGTAACACTGAATAGAAAGCAATAAAAATCCCAAATGTGGTGTAATAATTGCTAAATCATGTGCTATTCATAAGGAGAATATGGAGAAACTCAGTTTTACAGCAGCGAGGTCAGTCTGTAACAGCAAATTCAGGCTGTGGTGTTCAGTGACTTCCACTAAAAAAATTATCTTTTTTTATTACCTGCTCCTAGTAACTATTTGAATGAATTTTATTACTTCTTGTGACTGCTGGGTTTGCCAGCAGCCCATAAAGATTTAAATTGCCCTCAAATCCCCCAGTACACTGAGGCTCCTCACTCAGTTCCTGTAGCCTGTAGGATTTGTTTGCTAGAAAAACTTCCAGCTTTTGGCTGCAGATCCATTCCTTTATTTAGGTATGTGGCACATCCAGACAATGTAAATTTAATTAGTTCAGCCTGTGTCGTGTGGATTATTTTGGGTATTTTCTTGAAACTTGAGAAACAAACATAAGACTAATTAAACAATTCATCAGGGATTTCTTTACAACAAGTAGGCTGAGACAAACTTCTACATTTTTAACTTGCAAGCACGGTTTTGCACTGAAATAATTGGCTTTATTTTGTCATGATTTGTTACTTACCCCGGCTCTGTGAATTGATTTAGCTGTAAAGCCCAGTTGTTTTTTGTTCAGAGGAGTAGATAATTACGGAAAAAATAAGAAGGTTAGATTTTGTTTTAACAAATTCCTCTGGAGGATAAGAATTAGGGTTAGAAAAAGCCTGATAGAGAGTCCAGGAGGTGTTAACCAAAATAATCTTTGTTTATAGGAAAAAAAATTCCTTCCTGTGAGGGCAGAGAGGCTCCTGATGAGTGGGAAGGGAGAAAGAGGGAAAGGTTTTGTCCACGTGATCTCAGCAATCCAGAGGTGCTCCCAGAGGTGTCTGGAAACCTTCAACCCTCTTTGTCAATACAGAGCTCAAACTCCAAACAGCTGCAGTTTGGTATTTCTCTTTTCTTGAGGGGGAAAAATGATTTTAGCAGTGCAGCCCTGTGAGAATCAGGGATAACTTTAATACAGAAGCTGTGATAAGTTTTAATGAAGTCCTTAAAATTCCTCAGAGCATCTTCAGAAGTCACCTGCACATCCTGGTGCTTCTGTGCTGCCTCTGGAATGCAGTTTATTTCCATAAACCCACTGATATTTCAGCTTCAGCCTCCACTCAGGTGAATCCATCTCCTGCCTCAGCACAAACTCTGTTATCCCACGAGTTTCTCCTGTTCTGCAATAGTCAGAGCAGTCAGCTCCCCATTCCCAAGCTAAGGAAATCAGATTTTGGGTGGGTTGTGTGAGGAAAAAGCAGGGAAGGAGGATGGGGCAGTGAGGGTAGAACCACATCAGGGTTTGCATTAAATATCCATTGTAGATTATTGCTGCTAATTAGCCAGGAGGGGTTAATTGGAGAGGTCAAGCAGCCAGGATTGGGAACAGCTGATGGGGAGGGAAGCCCAGCAGTGTCCCATCTTTGGGAGGGACCTGAGCTGCTGAAATAATTCATTTTTCTGTGTTACTCTGATTTTAACAGATGTTTTACAGTAAATACTCCAGGTGTGTTGTGGGTGCAGTTGCTGTTCAATGTTTCCAAATTGCATTTCCATAGGATCCCAGAGTGTTTTGGTGTGGAAGGGACTTGAAAAGCATCCCTGTCCACCCCTGCCATGGCAGGGACACCTCCCACTACCCCAGGGTGTTCCAAGCCCTGTCCAACCTAGCCTTGGGCACTCCAGGGATCCAGGGGCAGCCACAGCTGCTCTGGGCAGCCTTCAGCCCTCACAGGGCACAATTCCTTCCCAACATCCCATCCATCCATCCATCCAGGGCACAATTCCTTCCCAACATCCCATCCATCCATCCAGAGCACAATTCCTTCCCAACATCCCATCCATCCATCCAGAGCACAATTCCTTCCCAACATCCCATCCATCCATCCAGGGCACAATTCCTTCCCAACATCCCATCCATCCATCCAGGCACAATTCCTTCCCACTGTCCCATCCTTCCAGAGCACAATTCCTTCCCCATCTCCCATGCATCCAGGACACAATTCCCAATTCCCAATCTCCCATCCATCCCTGCCCTCTGGCAGTGGGAGCCATTCCCTGTGTCCTGTCCCTCCATCCCTTGTCCCCAGTCCCTCTCCAGCTCTCCTGGAGCCCCTTCAGGCCCTGCCAGGGGCTCCGAGCTCTCCCTGGAGCTTCTCCAGGTGGACATTCCCAGCTCTCCCAGCTGTGTTTCCCTGTGCTGGTTTATTCTGCTCACTGCAGTGCACCTCCTGCATTCCTGGAGTTGTGCGACATTTCTCCAGCCCGTTCCCAAACACAACTCCCGCCTTTTGGGGTCAATCCAGTCCGATCCAGAGGCTGCTGGAGGCGCCTGTGTCTGATCCTGCATCTCCCCTAGGTACGACCACATCCTGAAGTGGGAGCTGTTCCAGCTGGCCGACCTGGACACGTACCAGGGCATGCTGAAGCTGCTGTTCATGAAGGAGCTGGAGCGCATCGTGAAGCTCTACGAGGCGTTCCGGCAGGCGCTGCTCTCGGAGCTGGAGCAGCGGCAGCAGCGGCAGCAGTGGTACGCGCAGCACAACTACTGAGCCGGCCCACACACACACACAAACTGAAACAAAAGTGCTTTTGGTGAAAAGGCAGCTTATTTTTGTTGACGTTGCACCTTTGTTATTATCCTCTTGAATATTTTTCTACATGTATTATGTGTTGTTTATAAAAAGTGGGAATTGTTTGTTAATCTTTTTTTTTTTTGCCGTGCCGGGAGTAGTTTGTTATCCTGAGAAACCACCAGCCTCGATCCCTTCCCCACGGTCAGCTGCAGTATTAAAAGCTGGCTGTGTATTTCCTTAGGGCAATAGATGCAACTGTCACGTCCTGGCTTCCAAACGTTGTCCAAAGGCAGATGCCTGTTGAGGTGTTTCCCTGGGGATTTGGGATCCCTCTCCTGGAGAGCTCTGCTCTTTGTTTACAGCTTTAATGTACAGAACCAGCCCCGGGCCTGTTCAGTCACACCAGGAGCCCATTTCACCCCTCGGGTCCGAGCGCTTCGCCGAGGCGAAGCCGAGTTGCCTTATTTTTTACTTTAGCTCATTAGTACTCCAGATTTACTCCTCATTTCCACACAGATTACTCAGAGGGGGAACACTTGTACCTTCCTAAAGACCAAGATCCCTAAGCAGAGTGGTTTTGATCCTGCATTTCCCAAAACCTGACCCGCTCCAGTGGAAAGGCAGCAGCATTGTCTGACCCACTGTGCCACCCCAGGGGGAAAATCAGGGATGTAACAGCAATTACTGGGTTTTTTTTTTGTTTTGTTTTTGGTTTTTTTTAATGAGCTTTTGTCTTAAAGCTCCTCACTTGGGGAAAATCTTTAATTGTGCAGTTACCCTCTCCAGTAATTTCATTTGGTTCATTAATTATCCTGATACGTTATTTATGGGTTCTTTTCAGTGCAATAAACACTGCAGACAAAAAAGTACATTTCTTGTAAATCCTATTCATTCAATAAAAATCATTTTGTTCAATGAATGAAGGGTTTGTGTGACTGATTTCTGGGTTTTAGAACTTAAAATGAACCACTCTTAGCAGCAGTAAAAGCCCCATGGGATGCTTGAGATGCTCAAAGCTCTGGCTCTGTCAGTGGATAAATGACCCTCAAAACACCAACTCTGAAATCCCAAATCAAACCAAACACGTAAAAAACCCCAGAGGAGAAGCTTTTGCCTGGATAATAAATAACTTTTCCCTGCAGAACCAACTTCTTAGGAACCAAAAGCAAACTTTAATAGTCCTGACAATAAAAGAATAGAACTGTACCACACGTTCTATGCGCTATCATGGATAAATATGTACAGAAATACAGAGAAACTTCCTCCAGCACGGCTACAAAGTGACGCTTTGTGCAGACAAACAAACGGTTCCTCACAGCACCGGTAACAGACCATAGCAGAAGTGCCCTTACAGTGTCTGATAAAGCAAGTTAATACACTTTAATTATGTTCATGTAATTAAACAGTTAAACGAAGGAAAAAAAAACGTGGTTACATGTTGTAACTTCTTCAAGTACCTGAAATAAATTGGCTTTTGGATAAGCTTCGGCCATTTTAGTTGCGGTATCACGTAAATTGTGGTTTCCTCAGTGGTGACTAATTAAGAAGGGGGGAAATAAGGCTTCGTAAATGAGCTGCGAGTCGCTGGCTATGACAAACCAAAGCTCTGGGCTGCGGCAGGGCCGTATGTACAGAGGGACAGGACACATCCATCCACCCGCGCTGGCCGGGAGCGGGGCGGATCCGAGCGGGGCTGGAAGGGGCTGGAAGGAGCCGGGGCACGGCCGGGCTGGAAGGGGCTGGAAGGGGCCGGGGCACGGCCGCTGCTGCTGCTCCGTCCCGGCCGGGCTGGAAGGAGCTGGAAGGAGCCGGGGCACGGCCGATCCTGCTGCTCCGTCCCGGCCGGGCTGGAAGGGGCCGGGGCACGGCTGCTGCTCCATCCCGGCCGGGCTGGAAGGGACTGGAAGGAGCCGGGGTCGGGGCTCGGCCGCTCCTACTCGTCCTTGCGGTCGGGGCGGGCGTCGGGCGCGGCCCTTGGCGCGGGGAAGGCGTGCTGGTACAGGTGTCGGTGCGTGGCGGCCGCGCTGTACAGTTTGTACAAGGCCTGCGGAGAGAGAGACACGGGCACTGAGCGGCCCTGACCGAGCCGGGACAGGGATCATTGCCCTCAGAGCAGCTCCCCTGCCATGCTGGGAGAGCAGGATTGCATTCCCTGTGCTGCCAGGGAGGTGCTGGGATGGATGAGCTGTGCCCTCTGCATTCAGCTCAATGCAATATGGGACGGTTTTTCCCAAAAAACAACACCCACAGCAGCTCCAGCAGCACAGAGCAGCCCAGCCAGGCCCAGAGCTCCTCAGCTCTCCTGCACCTGCACAGTCGGTGCCCCAAAACAATCTGGGGTTGGCTTTGACCTCCTGGCACAGCAGGAAAATCCCAAACACAACTGAGGGGAGAAAGATGAAAATCCCCACCCAAATCTCTCTCCCACTTGGCTCCTGCAGCACAGTGCCACATCCACACCCTTCCCAGGCATCTGGATCCCAGAGAACAGCCCAGAGCCCTCGTGACTCCCACGCTCCAGCAGCCCAAAGGTGTTTTTTGGGGCCAAGAGGCTTTTCCCAGGAGCCCAGGCCCAGCTGGGCCCGGCAGCATGCGGAGAACAAGAGCCACTTACCTCGTTGGTGCTTCCCTGGGAGAGGCATTGCCAAAGGGGAGACAGAAAGAGAAAGAAACAGCTCTGTGGATCTCAGTGGCCATGGCAGCTCATCCCTGGGGGGTTCATCCCAAACTGGTCACCCCTCCCTGCTCCATCCATCCCTCCGGCACTGCTCCCACTCCCATGGGACAGAGCTGCTGGCTTGTGGTGGGCACAGACACCCAAGGCAGCGGCTCCCCTCTGCCACAAATCCTTCCTGGGAGAACTTTCCCTCTGCTTGGAAAGCCACAGGGGCCTGTGGAAGGCAGGAACAGCTCCAAGCACTTTACCCTCTTTATTTCCCCCCAGCTGGACATGTTGCAAGTGGGCAGCACCTCTGGCTTCCACTGCCTGTGTCCTGTTCTTGCTGAACTCCCACTGGCATGGGATTCAATATTCCAGCAAGGCTGGCATCCAAAGACTCCTGAGAAGTGTCCCTGGGCAAAGGGACACTGCAGGGGGCTCTGCTGGGAGTGCTCAGGTGCTGGGGACAGGGTGAATCCACCTGGGACACTTCCCTGCTGAGCAGCAGCACCACTGGCCAGCTCTGGAATGAAGAACACCAGGAAATGCTGCCTTCATTTCCCCCAAAGCTGCATGGGCAGCTGCAGCAGCACAGGGAAGAAGGGAATGTGCTTGCTCTCCATGAAAACCTCTCTGGTGGAGGAAAAGCAGGGAAGGAGAAGGGCCCTTCCAGCCAGGAATCAGAGCTGGGATGGCTCCTGAGGGATGAGCTCCTCCAGCTCTGCTGTGGGAAGAGCAGGAGGGCACTGCAGCCTTTTGGGCACATGGATTGCTCCCCTGGATGGGCTGCAGGGTCAGGGGGAGTCTCTGTGGGCTTTCCCTTTTCTACAGTGGGAACAGGGAAGGGCTGCAATGGGACATCGGGGCAGAGCCAAGATGTGGCCTCGACCTCTGGCAGAGCTGGGAGAGCCCAAATCCCTGCCCTGAAGCAGGGGAGGGCCCTGGCTGCTCCTCTTTAACAGCCACAGCCATGCACACACCAAGCACACACACCAGGATCCTCCCCAGGGGATCCCTCAGAGCTGCCAATCCCCACAAGGCTCCACAAAAGACAAGGAGGAAAGAAACAGGCAGAACAAAAGAGCTGGCTGGGAGTTTTCTCAGATCTACACAGTTTGTTTTCCACACTGGACAAGAAATGGAGGCTCAGGGACACAGATCCAGCCTTGCTCACCCCACCTGTGCTGCAGCCACAGGGCAGCCCGAGACCTCCCCCTTACAACAAACTCCACAAACTGATCTGCAACAACTCCTCTGCCCCTCCTCTCGAATCTGCAAGGTGTAAGGAACGGATTAAAATTTCACTTAAAACTGAAAAGGCGCCCCTGAACTGATCACAGCACAAGCAGCTGGCTCAAACAACCCTAAACACCAAAACCATCTCAAAAGGGGGAGGAAAATCCCCAGGAAACTCAATGCTTAAAAAAAAAAAAAACAAAACAACAACCCTGTTGGGGTGCAGGGAGGATACTTTTTTCGTGCTGGTTTGAAATCAAAAGCTCTTTATCCTACCTGGTCCCACAAGGCTGCAGCCACTTGGTCTATTACAGCTCCCAGTTCTCTGTACTCCCCAGAGTATCTGATATAAGCCCAGGTACAGAGTGTGATCAGTGTCAAGCCCAGAATCATGTTGCACAGGCTGGCTATGATGTCCAAGCCAATGAAGCCGGTGACGCCGGCCAGCACGTAGGTGATGAAGATGACGACGAAGAGCGTGGCCGGGGTGCGGGCGGCGTGGAAGATGTTCTTGCTGTCGTTGTGCTTGATGTACTGGATGTAGAGCTCGTCGATCTCGGCCTCCAGCTGCTGCAGGTAGCGCCGGCTGAACTCCTCCCCGCCCATCTTCTTCACGGCCCGGAAAAGCCGCACCGCCTCCTCCTTCAGCTCCCCGTGCTTGGCCTGCAGGTCGCTGGGAGCCAGGAAGGGCTTGTCCCCTCCGCACACCTGAGCGGGGAACAGGGGCAGGGCACTGCTGGGGTGGCTCTGCTGGCACGGGGGAATCACTGCTGGCATGGGGAAATCATCCCTGAGATATCACTGCTGGCATGGGGAAATCACCCCTGAAATGGCACTGCTGGCACAGGGAAATCATCCCTGAAATGGCACTGCTGGCATGGGGAAATCATCCCTGAAATGGCACTGCTGGCATGGGGAAATCATCCCTGAAATGGCACTGCTGGCACGGGGAAATCACTGCTGGCATGGGGAAATCACCCCTGAAATGGCACTGCTGGAACAGGGAAATCATCCCTGAAATGGCACTGCTGGCATGGGGAAATCATCCCTGAAATGGCACTGCTGGCATGGGGAAATCATCCCTGAAATGGCACTGCTGGCACGGGGAAATCACTGCTGGCATGGGGAAATCATCCCTGAAATGGCTGTGCTGATTCAGGAAATCACTGCTGGCACGGGGAAATCATCCCTGAAATGGCTCTGCTGGCATGGGGAAATCACTGCTGGCATGGGGAAATCATCCCTGAAATGGTATTGCTGGCACAGGGAAGTCATCCCTGGCATGGGGAAACCATCCCTGAAATGGCACTCCTGACACAGAGAAATCATCCCTGAAATGGCACTGCTGGCACAGGGAAATCATCCCTGAAATGGCACTGCTGATTCAGGAAATCACTGCTGGCACGGGGAAATCAACCCTGACTTATCACTGCTGATACAGGAAAATCACTCCTGACATGGGGAAATCATCCCTGAGATATCACTGCTGGCACAGGGAAATCGTTCCTGTAATGTCACTCCTGAAACAGTGAAATCACTAATGAAATATCACTGCTGACACAGGGAAATCACTCCTGACGTGGTGAAATCATCCCTGAGGTATCACTGCTGGCACTGGGAAATCATCCCTGAAATGGCTCTGCTGATACAGGGAAATCATTCCTGACATGGGAAAATCTCTTCTGAAATGCCACTTCTGAAACATCACTCCTGACATGGTCAAACCACTCCTGAAATCATCCCTGAAATGTCACTCCTAACAGAGGGAAAGATGAAATTAGGGTTAGGGATTAGGGATTGGGAAGGAATTCCTGGCTCTGAGGGTGGGCAGGCCCTGGCACAGGTGCCCAGAGCAGCTGTGGCTGCCCCTGGATCCCTGGAAGTGCCCAAGGCCAGGCTGGATGGGGCTTGGAGCCACCTGGGATGGTGGAAGTGTCCCTGCCATGGCAGGGGTGGCACTGGATGAGCTTTAAGGTCCTTTCCAGCCCAAACCCTTCTGGGATTCCATGAATCTGTGACAGGAGAGCCAGCAGACAAGAAGGGACAGGAAGGGACACGCTCAGCACCACCCACCTCTTCCATCCTCTTGCTGTAGGTGTCTTTGGCAGTGGCAACTGCTGCTAAATTGTTGGCTTCTGCTGTGGCCTGTAGGGGCAAAAGGGGCACAAAATGTAAGTGCAGAAGGACAGGGTTAAGCTGTGCAAGTGCAGGGCCACACGTGGACACAGCCAGGACATGTGTGCGGCACCCAGAACCAGCCAAAGGGCTCTCCCAGCCTCCAACCTGATCCCAGATAAGCTCATCCCGTAACTCCACATCCAGAAGCCTGCATGAAGAGAGGATTCCTCCCCTCCAAGCCAGAGCTACAGAAACTTTGGCTTCAGCTGTGGGAACCAGCAAGGAAAGAGATAAAAGGCTCAGCCACAAGTAAACAGCTCCAGCTGCAAGGCTCTGGCAGCCACTTCCCATGTGTCACCTCCCTGTGTGGCCCCAAGGATGTCATTCACCTGCAGGGAATCATTCCAGCTGAGCTGGCTGGTGCTGTGTGCAGCCAGCAATTCCCCACAGTCCATCCCAGGTGGGATTCCTCAGCCATGCCAGGCTCCTGATGCCAAACTCTTCCCAAAGTGCCCTGGGTGGTTACACTGAGGCATTTGGAATAAAGTCCCAGCAGTCCCACTGTGCTGGACACCTCTGCCAATTCCAGTGCAGGAATTCCCACAGCTCCCACTCACACATACCTGCAGCATGGACTTGGGGTGTGGCAGCTCCTCCCCTTGGTAAATCTTTATGTAGGCCTGGAAAAGAGCAGGGAAAAGGGAATCATGTGGAATGCAGCACCCAGGAGCAACACCAACCACCCCCACCCAGCTCCAGACAGGATTTAGAAGCAGGGGAGAGGAGGATGTTCCAGCACAAGATGGCTTTGGTCAGAAAATGCCACTCCTTGGGTGGCCTGGGTCAGTCACTGGGGGCTCTCCCTCCTCCACTCACTCCCAGTGTCCCTCCCAAAGGATCTGCACCTACCTCTGTCCTTTGCTGGAGGAGAAGGAGCCAAGGTAGCCCTGGAGAGTAGGTGGTGAGAATTACTCACCAGTGTCTCGCATGGAAATGTCCCAGTAGCCATGACAACAAAAATAAGCTTTTTCCAAAGGCAATTGGAATACAGCCCTCAGCTTTATCCCCTCTAGCCCTCAATTCTCCAGGAAAGGAAAACAGCTCCTCCCACTTTCTGGGCTCACTGTGTGGTCAAACATGACCATGAGGTGTTTGACTGTCAGTGCTGCCCTGCCTGCTGCTGCTTTCCCCTTCAGCTACAGCAAAATTCCACATAGGAATAAATCCACTTTGTCTTACATAAATACCTTAAAATACTCCACAAGGCCTCGACAGGTGATATGGTTTCCATTGATCTCCTTAACATCCAGGTTCTCGGGACTAAGGAGCCAAGGAATCAAAATCTTCAGGTTCTTGATGAACTCATCGTCTATTTCTGGAAAAAAGAAGAAAAAAGAGGCATCACAGAGTCCCAGAATAGTTTGGGTTGGAAGGGACTTTAAAGACCACCATGTTCCATGGAAGGTTCTTTCCCCAGAGGGTGGAAGGAACAGGCTCCACAGGGAATGGTCACAACCCCAAGGCTGCCCAGAGCTCCAGGGGGATTTGGACAAAGCTCTCAGGGATGGGATTTCTGGTGTTTCCATTAAATTCAACTGTACAGGACTGAAGGCAGAAAAAAATCAATGCAACAGCCAGGAATTTGGAAGGTATGGAAAGCAGGGAAGATCCCCCACATTTCTTCCATCAGAGCACTAAAAGCTGAGCACAGCTCTGAGGCAACAAGAAATTTGTGAAAATTGTGTCAAGAAGCTGCTGACAGCTCCTGTCTGCACACAGCACTTGTTCCACACTCCTCAGCACCTGAGGTTAAGGAGGAGCTCCAGGGATCAGCTCAGTTTCCACCCTCCTGCTGCCTCGCTGTCCCTCTTGCTTTGCACAGTTTGCCAGGAGAGCAAGTCTGAGCCAGACAAAACCAGGGGAAAACTCACATCTTTGCCTGCTAATTTATTTTAAGTAGCTAATGGTCCACTTGATTACTAAGATTGCAGCAGCCTGGAACCAGCCACGCTGGTGAGTTCACAAAACAAACACCTAAAAATATCCCCAGCACGTGGCTCCTTCTGGGGTGGAGAATCTCACCACAGCTCTTTTCTCCTTCTCCCTTTTTTTAACCTGCTGAACCAAGCCTGCCCTGCAGGGAAACCACTGATGAGATAAAGTCAGGTAGATTAAATAATCCCTGGAAAGCTTTTCAAAGGGAAAGAATGTTCTGAGAGCTTGTGGAACCAGCTTTCCACCCATCACAAGCACCAGCCTTGCAGCAACCAGGCTCTGCCTGTGCAGGTGAGGCACAGGAATTTATGCAGGTTTAACACCACATCCATAAACATCCAGCCTCATCCCTGCCCTTCCCAGTTTTCCTGTCACTGGGTATTGCCAGTAGCTCTCAGGCCTTGTCAGCCTTCCACCCCTTTTCTCCCTCCACGTTTGTCTGCTGCACTGGGAAGAAGGAGATGGGGGTGTGAACAGCACAGGGAGGATGATCCAACTGCTCTCCCAGGAGTTTTTTCATGGAAAATACTTATGTGGGTTTCAGGAACAAGCAGGACAGTCTGCTAGGGCTCCTAAGGAATCAGGGTAGAAACCAGAGCTTTGCCTTTGTACCTTTCAGTTTTCCATCAAAATTGGGGTTGGTGGCGACTTTGAGGCCGGGGTGAGGTAAGAGGAAGCAGGAGATTTTGGTGAAGCAGGAATGGATGTGCTTCCTGACATTCTGCAGCTCCTCGTGCTGATTGCCTGACACCTGTGGAGACAATGAAGCACAGAATATCCCAAGCTGGAAGTGCCCACAAGGATCAGAATCCAGCTCCTGGCCCTGCACAGTCCCCCCCAACAATCCCACCCTGGGCATCCCTGGCAGCTCCTGGAGCTCTGAGAGCCTCAGGTCTGTGCCCATTCCCTGGGGAGCCTGGGCAGTGCCAGCACCTCTGGGGGAAGAGAATTTCCTTGAGATCCAACCCAAACCTCCCCTGACACAGCTCCAGCCCTTCCCTCAGGTTCTGCCAGTGGTCACCAGAGAGAAGAGGTCTGTGCTGCCCATCTACTGCCCACAGTTTGGGCTCAGGGAGTTTCCTTCTGACAGGAATACTGGGATAAACAGGATAACTCCACTGTGGGTGGGTGCTTACAGTGGGGGAAAGGAGGAGATTCCATAGGCATGAGGACAAAGAGAAGGAACTGGAGTAGCTCTGACCACATGCTCTAGACCATGTTATTATCATTTGGAAAATGCTATACATGTCCATGGATGACTGGAATACAAAAACATTTGGGATTTCCCACTAGGGCCTTGCTTGTCTCACATATAATTAGGTCTCTCCACTACCAGATCATCCATGCACTTCCTGGCTGATTCCAAGCAGCCCTTGCCCATCATTTTTATTGTACAACTCCCTAATTACTAAAGCATCATTCCCAGTCTCTTGGGAATCTGCTGACTCCCATTGCTTTGGACTCTCCCATAGAGTCCCAGGGAGCTGGGCTTGGGCAGAGGCCTGAACAGGGCAAAGAAATTCACCCTCCCCAAATGCCTCCTCTGTGATTTTAAGGCACTGAGTGTGACCATAAGCTCACACCTGACCTCCAGTGCTGAGGCCACCCAGATGGACAGGAAAATCATGGAATCACAGAGTGGACTGGGGTGAAAAGGACCTTTAAGATCATCCCTGCCACGGGCAGGGGCACTTCCACTATCCAAGGCTGCTCCAGAACCAAGAGTAGGCAAAACATACCTTCAGCCTCTTCTCCAAAAATCTGGCACCACCATCAGATCCATAGGAGAATTCATAAGGGAAGCTCCAGTCACGGACAAGGAATATAAGGGACTGCAAAACACACAACAGTGGGGTCAGGGACCCTCTGCACCCTCACCCTCTTTTCACACCACACCAAAACCTGGCCCTGAGTCTTTTCCCAGCTCCAGCAGCATCTCCCACCTTTCCTGGTGGAAAAAAGAGGTCCCAGTGTGCAGGGACTGAGACCACTCCACTGTCCCACCCCCCAAACTTCTGCACAGTCTGAGTCCCTGGCTGGGAGAACAACATCAATCATCTAAACTGCCCAAGGAAAGGGATTGCTGCTAACCAGGACAAAAGGCAGCAAGCTCCCTAATTCCAGCCACATTTAGTTCCATCCTATGGGAATTCTACAGGCTCATTTTTTCAGCCTTTTTCACTAGGCAGCCTTCCAGACAGACTTTTAATGAGAAACAGATGCAGAGGCATGAGGGTGAATAAGAAATCATTGGCTTTTGTAATCTTTATTGAGGCATTCAGAGTTCCTGGGCAATAAATAAATAAATACCAGAACGGTCAACTTTGAATCTTTAAAAAAAAAAAAAAACAAAAAAAACCAAAAAAACCCAGGTTTTCAGAAAAAAAAATCAGGTCTCAACTGCCTCATCTGTACAACATCCCATGTAAGAAATAAAGAGTTTGGAGGGGAAAGTCCTGAATGCCAAAGTCCAGGAGGGCCTGGCAGAGGTGCCAGGGTTCCTCTCAGGAACATGGATAAGCAGGTCAGCAAAAGGAATCCATTTCATTGGAATTTCCCTAAAATTTATCTGTGTTTAGAACAAAAATCTAATGGAGGGAGGGGAAATATTCCTGCTATTTCTCTTCCATAAAACATCAGAAAAACTTTTAAAAAAAGGAGAGAACAGTGAGTTGGCCTTTTTGAATTGCAGGAGAAGCCACAGTGACTGCACCCAGTGAGCTGGTTCAGGACATGCTGTTCTCAGCCACCATGAGATGCTAAAGAGACATGCCCATGTTTAGGACTTTTCCACAAACACATTATGCTGCACGCCTTGAATTGGGAATTTTTTTTTTTTTTTTCTGAAGTTAAATTTTTCCAGACAGGCTGTGTTTACCACTGCCTTTGTGAAAGGCTCCACGTTCAGGCCAGCCTCTGGCAGGGGCAAGGAGAGGAGGGAGACAAAGGGAAATGTGAATTTTCCACTGCCAAGTCTCACTTCCCTTCCAGCAGGATCAATGGCACTACAGTTTGTTCACCATCACACCTGGAGAATCCCAGGATGGTTTGGGTTGGAAGGGACCTTAAAGCTCATCCAGTGCCATGGGCACATTTCCACCATCCCAGGTTACTGCCAGGGGCAGCCACAGCTTCTCTGGGAAAACTCTGCCAGGGCCTCCCCACCCTCACTTTTCCTGCTTTCTAATCAACACTCTCACATTTAAAACACGTTCTGCAGGAAGCAGCCCATGCTGGGTGCAGACAGGAGATCATTTCTCACCTGGCCACAGCACCACTGACCCCTCTGCCACATTTGTCACACCCACAAAAGTTCCCAGCATCGTCTGATAATTTCTCCCTGATCATTAATGAAGATGACATTGAATCAGGGAGAGTCTGGGGAGAACCCAAGGAAACACTTCTGAAGGATGATGATTCCCTACAATTAGCTACAATTAGTTCAGCGTGCTCTGGTATCTATCAGTTAATGAGTTTTTAATCCATTAACTATGGATTAAACCACACAATGCTGACTTAATTTGCTTTCAATCAGCATCCTGGAGAGATAAGGCTGACAGAAGGCAATGGATCATGGTGAGAGTTACCTTTATCAACCCAGCTCGTGGTCCTTCAAAAACCGATAATGGGATTGTTTGACAAGACTCACCATCCACAAACTGTGACTCGACAGCAATTACAGTGTTTGGGAAAATCAGAGCCTATTATCCAGCCCTAATGATTTAAGCATGTTTAAGTCTCCCTCACAGCCTCCTTTTCACTAATAGAGTAGGAAGTATCTCAGTTTCACTGGAATATTTGGCTACATTATCCCCACAGACTTTAAATAAGGAGCAGGAATATTTATTTAATGTCTGGCTTTTTGCTGTACCATGTTACAATGTTCTTCAAGCTCTTGCCTGTCCTATATTTTTATTACATATATTTTTAGTTTTACTATTTATCAGTCACCAGCCCACAGCAGAATCTAATACACCTTAAAAAAATCTTAATTTGTCCATTTGTCGTAATTTTTAACCGTTAAATTTTATTTCCACTTCCTGACCACAGGCACCTTATAAATCCCTTAGTCCTTCCAGGACAACAATTCTCTTTTGATGTGGGAAAGCAAATGTAAAATAGCTGTCACTCATTCCCAATTACTCTTTGGATTTTTACAGCATGCTTTGTTCTCTGCTGGCTTTTACTTTAGGAAGTTCACAAACCCTCACCCAACCTAATCAAAACACTCCTTTGTCTTTAAAAACAGGAACCAACCTCACCTACTGTGAGTGCCCAATGCTCTCCCTTTTTTTTAACACCAGCTTTTCACCGGTTGGGGAGCAGAAGGATGAACAGATGTCCCTAATTTGAAGTTAAAACCCCACTTACACCAAGTTTTCCCACGGTTCTGCTAATCCTTATCCTTTCATTTTGCCGGGAGCAGGGATTCCCAGGGCAGGTGAGTTCAAACCTCTCAGAACAAAGGTTGGGCAGAGCTCCTGACTACAGAGTGACAAACCTGCTGCAAAACCAGCTGCTTTCCAAGCCTGGCAGGACAGGGCAGAGCCCTTGGGAAGGCAAGGGATGAGAGAGGAGAGAGAGACGGATGTTGGATGCACTTGGAGGTGGAAGCACAAAGCCCAGGCACTCCCATCTCCCCCGTGCTGCAAACTGCAGTGACACCTCGTGGTGAAGGCAGAGGGACAAACGAGGATCCTCGCACTCACCTGGAAAGGCTTCTGGAATGTCTCCTCCATGGCCAGCCGGCCATACTCGGTGAAAAGCTGGAAGGAGAAGGAAAAGACAGGGCAGTGAGTTTGTCACTGCAGGCACTGTGCGACACAGGGGCACCAGCGCTGAGCTCTGCTCCCTGTGACCCAGAGAAAGGCTGGAGCTGAGACAGGGCAGGGATTTCAGGAAAGGTTCTTCCCCCAGAGGGTGCTGGCACTGCCCAGGTGACATTCCCGAGGCTGCCAGAGCTCCAGGAGCCTTTGGACAGCGCTGCCAGGGATGCCCAGGGTGGGATTGTTGGGGGTCTGGGCAGGGCCAGGAGCTGGATCAATGATCCCTGTGGGTCCCTGGAGGGAATTCTCTGATTCTCTGGAGCAGTTAAGGGATATTTATGGGTGGGGACTACCAGCATCATGTGCAGAGCAGGACACAAAGTGGCTCCGGGCTCCCAGCTCACATCCCAGAGGCACAGGGAGCTGCTGTGGAACCATCCTCACCCTGCTGAGCTCTCACCCTGTGAGAGATCCCAGCCTGGAGCTTTTGGCTGCCAAATCTGTGGAAAACGGCTCAGATCAGCTGCTTGCTGCTGGTTTCAAACCAACCCAAAATTTCTCGTGCTCCCTCTAAACACTCCAGGAAGGAACGGAAATGAATTCAGAAGTAAGTACTTTCCCTGCAAACCCCTGCTGTGCAAAGACTCCAAAATCAGCCTAGCAGCAAGATTTGAAGACTCTCCAGTCTCTCTGCACTCTAATTTCTAACTGAAGGCACAATAATGTGTTTCACAGATGCCTAAAAATGGGTCAACTTGTTAAACAGTCATGGCTTCAAATCCAAACTGAAAGATCAGAACTACACTGAATAAATTCAGTGTTAAAGAAGTGTTATTGTTAATAATATTTATGGACTGAGATAATTCAGAAGTATTCAAATGCTGATTTTTTTCAGCTGGACTTTTGCTTTTCTTTCCTTTCCTTAAGCTCCTGGAAAAACCTACCTAATTAATCAACCCATCAATCAATCAATCAACTGAACAGAAGAGAAAGCAGGATGTAATTCCAGGAAATAGGCAGGACACCTGTGTCACAAAAATCCCATTAGCTGCTTGTCTTGAACAGGCAGGGCTGGAATCACCCTTAGAGGGTCACCTGTACTGAGCCAGCACCAGATGGCAACATCCAGGCTGGTAATTCACAATCTCAGAACAAAATCCCAGGATGGTTTGGGTTGGGAGGGACCTGAAATCCCACCAGTTCCAAACCCCTGCTATGGGCAGGGACACCTTCCACTATCCAAGGTTGCTTCAACCATCATCCAAGCTGGCCTTGGACACTTCCAGGGATGAGGCAGTCACAGCTTCTGTGGGAAACCTGTGCCAGGGCCTTCCCTGACAGGCAGAAATTCCTTCCCAACATTCCATCTAACCCTGCCCTCCGGGAGTGGAAGCCATTCCCTGTGGTCCTGTCACTCCAGTCCCTTTTAAACAGCCACAATTAGGTTACCCCAAAGCTTCTCTTACCTGCAAGTGCTGCAGATCATCCTCCTGCACATTCTGGGACAAGTTATAAACCTGCATGTAAATAAAAAAACAACTTCAGATCACTCAGAACAGCCTGTCCTTGGGGCTAACACGTGGTTGGTGTGGCTAAAACTTACAACAACCCCATGGGGACACGGGCAAGGTCCCAGATGGTGCTGGCACAAGTGGTAGAAGAGAAGCCCTTCAGGCTCTGTAGCTCCTGGGGCTGAACTCCTCCAGCCCAGAGGTTTCTTACCTGGATGGAGCTGATCATGGTGCTGAGGGCAAACACGGTGGCCGAGTCCCTGAGGGTGGACTGGCTGTCAAAGGTGCCCTGCGTGTCCATCAGCAGCACCGCGACCTGCGGGGCACAAAGCTCTGTCAGCACCCCCAGCAGCAGCAGAATGGCAGCTGGGAATGGCAGCTCCTCCCTGTGCTGGGGTCTCACTGCTTCTGCCTCAGCCTCTGCACTGCTGGGGGACAAAGGAAAAGCTCATCCCCAGCCGCTCCTGACAGCAGGGTGACTCCAGCAGGCAGCAAAATGAACGCTCTGCAGGGCAGTGAGGGAACTGCTCTGCTCCTCAGACACCTGCTGGCAGTGCAGAGGAGGCTCTGCCTGAGTCTGCACCAGAAACCAAACACTAACTGCACCTTCTGAACCCAAACACACTCAGCCAGCGTTAGCAATCACACCCTGAATGCCTCAGTGTCACTTGGGTGCCATGCTGTGCATTGAAGTACAGATAAATACAAATATTCCTGGCTATCAGCTGAATTTGCAGGATGCTCCAAATCCACTGTGACAACTCTGAATGAAGAAACTCCACTTTACAACTTCTGCTCTACGAAAGAGAAGGAGTTTGCAAGGACATGAGATTCAAGATTTCTGGGAATAGTACAGAGATAAACTCTGGGATGCCCAGAATTGAGGGACACTTAGAGAACTGTATCAGGGACACCTGGACATCACATCACCTCACTTTGTTAAACCCATCTTTAACTTGTATTTTTCATGGTGTGTACAACTTCCCAGTGGCCTGTGACAGTTTTCTACAGACTGTCAATTACACACAAGTTTTTACATAATTTGCATAAATGCCTCCCATGAAAAACCACCACATTCCACCCCTCATCTCTGTGAAATACACGTCAAAAATTATTATCAAAAATACATTCTTTAAAAAAATATTTTTACATCACTTCCTTCGCTTACTAAAATAGAGGCATGGTATTGAAAACCTCCCCTAAACTTGCACAACCACCTAAGACAAGGCAGGGGAGTCTCAAAAGCTGGAAAATGAGCTGGGGCAGCAGAGACACACACACACACCTTGGTGCCATCGGGCTTGTCCACCAGGAACACCTCGCTCCATATCTGAATCCCGGTGGTCTCCCGCTCGGAGCCGCCCCTCCAGGAGAAACCGGTCAGGGGCTCGTTGTAATCCCCAACCCAGTCCACTGCCTCCTGCAGGGAGGAACAGAAGCAGTTGCTGGAGGTGTCAAAAAGGGTAAGAGGTTAGGAACCTCAAAAGGGAGGATTTTCTTTCCTTTTATGGTCAAGGCACCTCAAATCCTGGGGTCAGTTTTGGGATCCTCACAGCAAAGGCATTGAGGGGCTGGAGCGTGTCCTGGGAAGGGGCTGGATCACCAGGAGGGGCTGAGGGAGCTGGAAAGGGGCTGGAGAATTCCTGAGGGAGCTGGGAAGGGGCTGGAGAACTCCTGAGGGAGCTGGGAAGGGACTCAGCCTGGAGAAAATGAGGCTAAGGGGGGACCTTGTGGCCCTGCACAGCTCCTGACAGGAGGGGACAGCCAGGTGGGAATCGGGCTCTGCTCTCAGGGAAAAAGCAGCAGGAAAAGAGGAAATAATCTGAAGTTACAGCAAGGAAGGTTTGGGTTGGATATTAGGAATTTTTTTTTCACTGGAAGGGTGGTCACAGATTGCAACAGGCTGCCCTGGGCAGTGGTGGAATCTCCATCCATGGAAGTGTTCAGAAGACACCTGAGGATATGGTGAATAAGGTGATTCAATGATCTTACAGGGATTTTCCAGCCTAAATGATTCTGTGATTCAGGGTGGAAGATGTGAACATTCCAGCTCCAAAGCCAAGAGTCCACGAGAAACCTCTGCCTCGGGAAGGACCTGCTCTGCTTTATTTTGTGAAGCCCACACTCCTGAGAGCCTTGAGCATTCCTAAAGCACCAAATCCTGCCCAGCTCATCCCTGAGCAGCACATGGGAGCAATGAGGAAGAGCAGCCCCCTGAGCTGCAGCCTTACCTTGTTGTACATGTAGCGCAGCATGAAGTCCATCAGGAATGATTTTCCTTTCCTAAAAGCTCCAGCCACGGACACAGCCACCACCTCCTTGTCTCTGACAGCCTCGGAGAGGAGGATGCGGTTCAGGGCGGCTTCGTCCAGCTCGAAGGAGTGGTCATCTTTGACAATGAGGACCTGCACTGGCCCTGCCTTCCTCACTGATTCCTCCTCCTCGGAGCTCCACTCGTAAGTCTTGTCTGCAAAACTACCTGTGAGAAGAGGGAAAACGAGAGGGGTTTGGTGCCTTCCTCTGCCCCGTGAGGAGTCAGCGGGGCTGGACAGGGTGCCGAGAGATCCAAAAACTCAAATATCCATCCCAAAATGGCATCATCCAGAGCAGATCTGCTGCACCTGGCCTCAGACATCCCAGTGGAGACTCCGTGTTTCTTTGGGGTCATCTGACCTCGTGCTCCACACAGGCAGAGCATTCCCTGCTGGAATCTCCCTTGGCAAAACACATCCATTAGATTTTATCCTGCATGGAAAACAGATCCCTGCAACTTCCTACATAAGCAGTGCCTGCCATAAGGCCTCCCTTGGCCCTTTCTCAGCTGGAAAAGAGAAATCCAAGACTTCTCATCATCCCTTCTACCACATTATCTGGGGATCTGCTCTCCTCTGGACACTCCCCACCAGGTCCTTCCTGAATGCTGACTCAAAAACAGAAGCAGCTCTCCAGCTGAGGTGTCCAAGGGTCTCTCAGCTCTATCAGAGGATGCTGCCTTTGTGTATCCCGTGCCACTGCTGCTCCTGTAGCAACACATTCCTGCTCCATCTGCAGCCTGAGCTGATGCTCCAAGTGCAATCTGCTGTTCCTGCCATCAGCATCCCCCCAGGACACTCCCAGCAGGAATCAGGCCATGCAGACACAAGCCCATCCTGATAAAAGCCACTTTGCTGCTCCCAAGTGGGAAACACACACAGAGCACAAGCACTGCCCACTTTCCCACTTGGAAATGGCAAAGTTCCCTGTGGAGCTGCTGCCTGGGCTGTGGAGGGATCACACAGGAGGGTCTCACAGGAGCCAGATGCATTTTAAGACCTGCAGCCCTGGCTGGCTGCAGTAATTTTCCTTTCCTGGTCTTTCCAAACTTTCCAGCACAAGGAAGAGATGCTGAAGGTGATTAATGTGCCAGCCAGCTCACCTACAGCCACGTGAAACCTCCCTGCCAGCAGGGCAAGGAGCGTGAGATGGAAAGTTCCCCCCACATTCCAACAAAAACTTCCCAGTTTGCTGGCTCGGGCTGTAACTTTCCCAAGTTTTGCCTCAAGTTAAACCTCCCCAGTCTCTGTTTCAGCTCCTGACCTTGGGGACCCAGTTTGAGCTGTTTCAAAGCACAAGGACTGTGTGTGCACACACTAAAAGAGAAGTTTTAAGTATCAAGAGGAATAGGATTTGCCCATTCTGGGCCTCTCTATAAAGAAGCCTCCAGCAGTAACTCCGTATTTTAAATAACAGCAGCACTTTTGTGATTTCCTAAGATCCTGCAAGGAAGTACCAGGATCATTAGGCCTGGTTGCCAGGGGATTTCTGGTGGCTCTTGGACATATACTATGAGCTTTCTTTGCTCACAGCTGAAAGACAAAGATCTTTTCTTTCCATTGCTTGGAGGTTTTTTAACTAAACAGAAGTCCCAAATGGTGTGAAAAGCAGATTCTCCATCAGACTGCAGCAGTAAAATCCCTCCAAGCACTGTGTCACTGCACAGGGGCCTCCAGGAAAAAAAAAAAAAAAAAAAAAAAAAAATCCTTCTAATTTCAAATCCATGGAGTCAGGATCCAGGCACACTCTGCCCCAGGCACACACCAAACATCTTTTCCAGCATTGAGGAATTCCCAGCAGGTAAGGATAGCCAGGTGCCAAAGGGCCACAGGCTCCTGTGCTCTATTTAAGCACTGCCAAGCTGCAAGGGCCACATGAAGGATAGGAAATGCCTCGTCTCTTGTGGTGTTTCCCAAAGCCCTGCTCAGCTAAGCCAAGTCCTATTTTTATTTTCTTCTTCCAGCTGCACAGAAAGGACAGTAGAGAGATCCTTGGATAGGATGTGACTCACGGTGGGGGCAGGAAAATATTTGTAAGTCAAATTAAACTTAAATATTTCTATCTCTAACCCAGCCATCAGGGTACAACAGCTGATGCCACCTTCCCAGACCAGACAAATCCCACCCCAGGCACAGAGACAGAGGAAAATGGGAGCAGCACTTCGGCTGGAACCCCTCTGCTTTGAGCCAGGCTGGGAGAGATGGGAGTAGAGAAGCATCCAGGGAGAGCTCAGAGCCCCTTGCAGGGCCTGAAGGGGCTCCAGGGGAGCTGGGGAGGGACTGGGGATGGAGGGACAGGACACAGGGAATGGCTTCAAACTAGAAGAGGAGAGATTTAATTAGATTTTAGGAAGGGATTGTTCCCTGGGAGGGTGGGCAGGCCCTGGAGTAGAATTCCCAGAGCAGCTGTGGCTGCCCCTGGATCCCTGGCAGTGCCCAAGGCCAGGCTGGACAGGGCTTGGAGCAGCCTGGGACAGTGGAAGGTGTCCCTGCCATGGCAGGGGTGGCACTGGATGAGCTTTGAGGTCCCTTCCAACCCAAACCATTCTGGGATTCCATGATTTATGTTTTTACTCATCCTGCACTAGCAGTGGGTACCAGGATGGGCACAAATCCTTGATGCCCCCGGCCCAGAGAACTGAATGGACATTTCAGTCCTGGGCAAGGATCCAAGCACCAGGACAGGGGGCTGAGGAGAGTCCCCTGCCATCCCCTGCCACAGGGACACCTGGTGCCAGATCCCCTCTCCTGGTGTCTCGATGGGATCTTCCACACCTTCTTCTCTCTCTGCTCTTTCCAGCAGCTGAGCCAACAACCAGTGCAGAGGAGAAGGGATTGTTTTGTCCCTTCAAATCATCATTATCTGAAGGGGAGTAATTTTTATTAAGCAGACAACACAAAGAGATTTTGGGAAAATGTCTCCAGACACAGAAGTGGCCATGGTCTCCTAGGGGACATCCTTGTTTCCATCACCTGAACGCCAGGAAAACCAAGTTGTTTGCACAACACAAAGCACTATGAGCAGGAGATATTGATTCCCCAGTTCTTGGAGACAACAGGAAAGAGAGATTATATTAAGCAGGTCTCTGAACTAATTTCATCCCTATCTCTGCTTCTTTCATGTAGGCCATCTGCAGACAAAACTATCTTTTTCACATTTATATTCATATTTCCGTGTGATGAAACTTTCAGGCTCTGTTTATTAGATTATCTGCCCCACTGCAGAGCCAGGGATTATTTTATAAAATGGCTGCACACTACTGGCAGTCAATGATTTTAACTGGTCTTCCTGGCCATAAATGAGTTCTTTGCCTTGAAGGAAGCTGTACCTGGCAGTGGCAAAAACTCATCCAGCCAAAAAGGAAAGGAAGGAGAGCTCAGCTTTCCTAAACACACTCTTGTTTTCACTCCTTTTCTGAGCTGACTCCTCCTTTCTCTCGGCTCTGCAATTACGTCAATTCTCCAGCTGCTCATTCAGAAATTCAGAGGATCCGGCCCCTTTTCCCCATTCCATAACAGCTCATTCCCACGTCTCTGTTCCATATGGCCATTGCAAGTGGCAAGGGGAAGGAGAGCAGGATTTGCCTTTGTACTTTCTGGGCTGTCAGACATAAAAAAAGCAGAATTCTTTAACTGGTCTAAGACTTGCTTTGGACTAAATTAATTAAATTGAAAGAGCATATTTCACATTGTGCCTGTGTGTAGACTGACAAACATGTCTAACGTAATTTACTTAATTTATTCTTCTCTAAGAGTTAATTACATGCCACTAACTATGCAATGTTTGGTGAGTGCTTGCTGAAACCTGTTCTCCCTTAGCCATGGAAGAACAGGTCACAGAAATGCTGACTGCTTCCCAGATTGCCACAAAGGAATCAGCCTTGTCCTCATGTGAGCCTGCACAATAAATACATTTCCTTCCAGAGAATGAAATGCCACCATGTCCCATCATCTGTGCAAACACTGCCTGACCAGAGCCTGAGGAAGCCAATTTGCCAGCCCAGCTCTCAGGCTCCCCTGGATCCCAGGATTCTCAGCTATGCTGTGGAAAGCAGGGACTGCAGCCTGGGCTCCAATCCTCCCACTGAAATCCCAACCTCAGAATAGTCTGAGGGTTAGAAGGGACCTTAAAAATCATCTTGTTCCACCTCCTGCCATGGCAGGGACATCTTCCACTGTCCCAGGCTGCTCCAAGCCCTGTCCAGCCTGGCCTTGGACACTTCCAGGGATCCAGGGGCAGCCACAGCTGCTCTGGGCACCCTGTTCCAGGGCCTCCCCACCCTCCCAGGAAAGAGTTTTTTTCTCATATCCAATCTAATGTCTCCTTTTTTAGTTTAAACCAATTTCCCCTTGTCCTATCACTATCTACCCATGTATAAAGTCACTTTCCTTTTTTATAAGCCACTTCCAAGTACTGGAAGGCCACTATGAGGTCCCCCTGGAGTTTTCTCTTCTCTGGGCAAAACAACCCCAGCTCAGATGTCACACACACAAAAACACCAATGTCAGGTAGTGCTGCCATTCTGAGAGCATTCAAACCAAGTTACTGCATGGAAAACAAATACCAAGGAGAGAAAATCGAGGTTTGATGGGAAGCTTGAACTTGTTTGTTCCTTGGAACAGAGTATCTGTGTCAAACTGCTTATCAGTGGCTCTCAGGGGACCAGTTTGACCAGCAGTGATATCTGTGTGGGTCCTTTCTGGGGTTTCCATCCCAAATATATCACACTGCCACCAACAGCACCGCGAGCCAAGCCCTGAACAGAGCCTGCAGTCAGCCCCCATCCCTCTGGATGCTCTCCAAAGAGCTGCAGTTTGCAGGAAGCTTATCTGCCCTCCACAACAGCTCTGGGGAACACAGCCACCCCTCCCCGAGCATCAGCCCTGCACTGGGCACGTTCAGCCTGGCTGCTGCAGGCACACGAGCGCTGCTCTCTGTGGCTGTGCTGAGCTCCCTGTGCCACCTGATCCAGCCAAGCAGGGAAAAACGGGGAATAAAGCGTGCAAGCAATGCGTGTGCACTGGGGAGTCAGAGCAGGGTGGTGCCCAGCAATAACCTGCGCTGGTTCTGCACAAAGGATGCACCCAAGGAGCTGAGCCTGGCCAGCTGAGAGCTGCTAAATTCAGCGTGGGCTGCCAGAAGGTGTCTAGACAGAGGTGGGAGACA